GTGTGTAAAATTTCATCTTTTAGAAAAACAGTGACGTCAAGAAAGTTAATCTGAGTAGGCGAGTAATCACAGGTAAACTTGATTGTTTTGTGAAAGGAGTTGGCATGTGAGATAAATTTTTTAAGTGATTTAAGACCGGCTGTCCAAATGAAAAATATGTCGTCTATTGTAACGCTTCCATGTATGAGGTTTTACAAGGCTTAGTTGTAAATAGGTATAAATAGGTCATGTTAAAATATTTCTATGACTAAAACCCTTATTTATTGAATATTATTGTTAAGTTTATCATATTCAAACAATGCACATAAGCAAATTGTTACTTAATGAAAATAAGTTACATTTACTACATATTAATCGATCTAAACCAAAAATACTAGCCTAATCTGACACCATTTTGAAAGATGAAGCCGTAGGTTACTGATAACTTTTTTTGTCAGCTTAGCTAGTGTTTATAGCTGGAAGTGGTGAATATTTCATTCGGAGAATTAAGTATCAAAAGAAATATATTAACGAATATCAATTAGGTTAAAATTGACTGGAAATACAAAATGGAATTTTCTAATGAACAGTAAAATAATGAAATCCTAAAACAAAAGGAAGTATTTTAAATATGTTTTCGAAATTTCATAAAGTAAAACGTAATTCATATTTATACGATTTTTTTAAAGCCAAAAATAGATACTATTTAATGTGTTTGTCCCAACCTTCTCACAGTGTGAGTATTCCTGCTATGAGAAGAAAAACATCAGTGACATTCCTCCAGTCCAGAGTAACTTTTAATCCTTCTCATGGTGAGATGGCACATAGGATCTGGTGCTGAACACCGGCTTAGCTGACACAAGCAGTCTGACGCAAGTTAACTCCCAGCTAACAGCTGGTACCCATCATACAGCTGGATAGACTGGGACAAGGAAAGTAAAGTGTTATGCTTAAGAGCACAACAACATGACGTGGGCCAGCCTCAAACTCGCAACCATCCGATTATGAGTCCAAAGTGCAAAGTCATTGAGCCACGCTGCCCCTCTAGTCCAGAGAGGGTTGAATAAATATTGCCATCTATGAAGTTTAAAACCTAACTCTCTTTTTGTATATTAATACAACAATCATATACATATAATCGTCTGTACTTTGCACAACCTTTATCATCATCATTATTTTTGCTTTATGCTATAGTGTGTGTATATATATATATATATATATATATATATATACTAACGAAAATACTATACTT